TACAATCTGTAGATCGACATATTCTTCGCAGAGGGCGTTGCTCGCCATCTCCTCCTTCATCTCGTCGTGTGTGTGGGAGGATGGGCTCTTCGTGACCTCGCTCCCCCGCCTCCGCCCTCCTGCCCTCGCTCCCCAGCCTTGGCCCACTGCAGTGGCCCCCCCGCCTGAGCCCGCTCTCCTCTTGCACCTCGGCATCGCTCGGACGTGTGCATTTTCCCTTCGGCGAGGACCATCGAGGAGTATCCTTGATCATTTGGTGAAAAAATCGCATACGAAACCGAAAAAGCACAGGGAATGGACGTCCGAGCGATGGCCAGGCACCTCCACGCCGTCATCGCCCCGCTTGCGCTCGTGCGGAGGTCCTCCCCCCCCCCGTCGGAGGAGGAAAATGCACCCGCACCGCTGCCGCTGCCCTTCCCCGTGGCGTCGCCCGGAGCTCGGGCGTGCGCGTTTGCTCGATGCGAGGGCCATCGAGGAGCATCTTGGATCACCTGGCCAACAAAATCACGCACGAAGCCGAAACACGCACTGGGAATGGCCGTCCCAGCGATGGCGAGCTCCCGCGTTTGGTTTGATGGGCGTACGCCACATCCGCCGACCCCTAAATCAACTGCTGCGACGCCAGGCCTGCATTTCACGAGGCTTGTCCGAATCATGGCACGGCGCTCGTCATCGTTCCTGTTGCTTCGTTGCTGTTATCGTACCTCTTGGTACTCTTTTGTGCCCTTTTGGTGGCATCTTGGCCTATCTGCAGGCCATATCCGGCCCGCCTCGAAGCATCTTGGGCCATTTTGGTTGCTTTGGTTGCTTGCCTGGGCTGTCTTGGAAGCTCGGGACGAGGACGCACAAACTTCCAGCGAGGGATCGTGGCCTCGGGAGCGCTGCTCCCACGTTGACAAATTGCGAGGGCTTGTGGCCTCGGGGACAGGGGGCATGCATGGGCTAATCTGGTAGCAGAGGTGGGGGGGGGGTCCGAACGAGGACGCGCTACATCAGCGACGAACAGGAGAGTCAACACTTCACGAGGACAAGTAAAGTCGCACGCGCAGATTGCATTGCCGACGGGGTTATGGAGCGCAGCTGGCAAAGCTATCGGTGCAGCGGCACGTGCCAGAAAACATTGCCGAAGTCGGCCTTCTCCGTGGACAGTAGCCATGTTGCGCGCGACACAAAAAAAACACCCTGAAATGCAAGGCGTGCGCCCGTGTCACGATCCGTAGACCAGATAGGGTGAGAACGAGAGGAAGCCGATGAGGAACGCCAAAAAAGAGAAAGCAGAGGAGGAGGTGAGGTGGGGGAGGATGGGGGAGAGGCGGAGGAGGGTCAACGGAAGAGGAGGAGGAAAAGGAGGGGTGACGATCTGGTTTAGAGGCCTGTACTCCGTTGTCTGGTGGCCTTTTCTTTTTTTTTTCGGGAGGATGTCCGACACTTCGGACTGCATGCGTGTCACCCTGGATCTCGAGACCCTGTGCAGGTGTCTGGGCCGTGCAGTTTGTCATGGCCGTCGGTCCGAACCAGTTTGGTAAAAGGGGGTCAGAATCTCAGGGGTGCTTCGTGGGGTCTTTTCGGAACGCTCTGGAGGCGGGGGCAATGTCAGAACATGGATGCATACTTACTCGGTCACTGTAATGTCCGTGGCCGGCTTTCGAACTGTTCGCCGTGCAAGCATAAGGAAATACATGCGAACACCCGCGTTCATAGTGGCCGTTTGTTTGGCCTCCAGGCAAGCCTTCGTCGCCACCGCTGAATCCTGGCCAGGACGCGCCGAGAGAGAGGTCAGGGGAGTACTTAATTATATCGGTTCTGATTTTCCCAGCCCTCTCTTTGTCTCTCACGCCATCTCTTTCTCCAGGAAGAAGAAGTGCGCGAATAGTAATAATATTCAGAAGAAGAACAGGTAATACTTATAATTAAACTAGTCATAATACTAGTAATACTAATCATCATAATGATAGTAATACTTATAATCGTAATAATAATAATAATACGAATAATAATAATAAACTACTATTAATAATAGTAATAATAATAATCATAGTAGCACTTAATAATATCAATAACAGCACTAAGACAAAACAAGGCTAATCATATTGATATTAATAACGATAATCAGAAGATGAAGAACCGATGATCCTCAGAGCGCGTTTCTGCGCCAACGTATTCTTGCCCACCGAAGCCCTTCAATACGACGCAGCCGATGCCACGAGGGCCGAACGGGGCAAACGCACATCCGACTTACACATGTCCTGAGGATCGCCGGCCAGAACGCCTAAACGCTGACTTTTGGACACTTGGGCGGTCGGCGGCTGGCGCCGCACGGCCGCTGCGCCAGCGCCGCGGCGCCATCCATGCCGACACCGCCGATGCATCTGCGGGGCGGCACGATCCGCCGGCCGCGTCAACCCGAAGACCAATTGTGCAGTGGGGGGCCCATGCCAAGAACCACCCTGCTTGCCTCCTGGGTGCCCTGGGCTTCTCAGGTTTCGATGGGCTTGCTCTGGAGAGCGCGACCCTCCCACACCAGAAATCAGTGGACGCCCTGGGATCTCTCAGGGCTGGCTCTATCGTGGGAGGTCTCTTGTGGACTGGCGTCCATGGTGTGTGCATTGTGCGGGGTCCGCGCGGATTTTCTTGGATCGGCAACGCGGCGCCGTCCACCAACCGCATGTGCCGCAGAAGCCGAGCTGGCATGACCCTGCGTCGTCGGAAGTCCGCACGGCCTTGTTGCAGGGGATCAGCGCTGGACCCCCGCCTGGCGGCGCGTCCGTTGCCGCCCCTGGGGAGCTCCTCGCGCCGGAGAGGGGGGGTCAAGCTCCGATCCAAGAACCAGGAGGGAACAAAAACACACAGACACAATTAACGTCGATTCCCCAGAACATCTGGGAAAACATAGGACGTGTGGGGGGGAGACGAGAACCCAGAAAACGTGGGAAAGCATAGGGGATGTTGTTATTTGTGTCTAAATATTTTTGTGTTTCCCAGGGCCCCGATCCAAGAAATCTGGGCGAACCTCCGAGAGTTGGTGCGTTTTTGCTGTAGCTCCTCCTCTTTGGCTCAAGCCACGCCTCCTATCGCCAGAACGCTGGCCGTCGGGCCGCAGTGTCAACGTCGATCCGACCGATCCGATGCGATGTCGGTTTTTCTGCTGGCCCGGACCGATCTCGTTTCGAGATTCCGACGGTGTGGTGTGGCCTTGATGCTCTGCGTGACGCTCTCTCTTGTTTCCTGGCGCAGCCGATGCGATTTGTTTGATCTTGGGCCGTCGCATTCGGGCACAGCGTCTCCTCTCCCTCTCCTCTGTCTGTCTATCTGCGTCTCTCGTTGCCCCCCCCATTTTCCCCCCCCTCCCCCCCCCTCCCCTCAGTTCCCCACCCCTGAGGGCCCCGACGTTACCTGATGTTTGCATAGCGCTGTCGTGCATCCTGGCGTGGCCGATTCGGTTCAATTCCAGCTTTGTGCCGATGCGGCCCCATTTGGTGCACATTCCGATCAGTCTTGTCTTGTCGATTCGATGTTGGTTTTCCCCAGAAACTAGAGGCGCAGAGGATATACATGAAAGAGTGGCCCCTATAGGCAAGAGTTGATTCAAATCCACTGCGCCTCGGCCTTTTGGCGCCCCTTCCCGAAAAGTCGAAGACGCAGTAGATATGTATACAAGTCTTGCCCGCATCCCTTCATCTCTCTCTCTCTCTCTCTCTATCTGCCTCTCGCTCTCCACCTCTACTGGCGGAGTCGTCGTCGTCGTCGTCGTCGGTGTCGTTGTCGTCGGCGTCGTCGGTGTCGTCATCGGGGGTGGCGGCGGCGGCGGCGGCGGCGTCGTCGTCGTCATCATTATCTTCTTTTACCACCTTCTCGATGAAGCTGCATACTCCTCGATCCAGCTCGGTGCTCCCCGATGCCCCTCTATCCGCGTCGATCCTCCTTTTTCTCTTCCTCTTCAATCATCCTCGAAACCTCCCCAGACATGCGACGCGTCGATTCTTTCAATATGCGGTTCCCGGAAGAACCGACCTTTCCCCCAGTGTTGGCTTTGCATCTCGAGCAGTTTTTCGACGGTCGTGTGGCCCAGCGAAGGCCCCCGGAGGCCACCTTCGGCCGAGAAGCTTGCCGCTGTGACTCGCTTACGACGCGAGCACGTCTGGGCTTCGATCCTTCTCGAAGCCTGCCTCGATCTCCCGACCCCGCCTCTTGGTAGCAACTCATGGGGGCCTTGCATGTCCTCTCGGGGGTGGACAGAACCCCCAACAGTGACACGTAGATTAGTGAATTGTCCGTTTCCGGTTCTCGAGAGGGCGCCGTGGCCGTTGTTTTCCAGGCTCGCGCCCGCCAGGTTTGGGCCTCAAGTCGTTTTCATTAAACCACGTTTTACTAAAGGGGGGTCTGTCCATCCCCGATCCTCGGACTTTCGTCCCTGGGGTGCCTCCGCCTGCTCCAGCGTCTGGCGATCTATGAGCAGGCGCCGGTTTGGTGCCGAGTGCCGCGCACCGTCGATTCGGCGTCGACGAGCGTCGATTGGCGTCGATCCGCAAGAGCCAGCAAGCTTCTAGGCCTCCTACGTGGTGTCTGAGCAGATGGGGTCGAACGATCGCTCCGCACCGCCGATGCATCGGCGATGCGGTTCGATGTGGAGCCTGATCTTCTCCACGCCGACGTCGTCGAGGCATCGCCGACGTGCCGATGTATGGCCGATGCATCGCCGATGCTTCGGCGATGTATTGGCACTTCGGCGCGATCCTCCGACCCCATCTGCTCGGACCCCATCTGGGATTAAGTCGGGCCTGTCCCTCTACAGGAGGAGTATTCAAAAATAGTCAAAGAATAGTCTGGGGACGAATGTTTGACTATTGTTGTTCATTTTGGAGTACTTTTGGTGAATGTTTAATCTTCCGTTCAAAATCTCTCGTAGGGGGCAGGCCCGACTTAAATCTAGGAGGCCTCTGAAGATGGCATGGACGGCTCCCGTGAGCTGCCACACAACCCGCCAGCACACGCGCCCCAAGGCCAGAGGCCGGCAGGAGCGCTGGGAGCGGAAGGTCGCCAGAGCACCCGGCACCCGGCGCGGGCGGCTGTCCGGCGGCGGCTTCCGCGGCGGGCGCCGATGGGGCAGGGTCGGACGGGGTTAGGGCGGATTCGGCAGCAAATCATGGGAGCTTGGTGTACCCTGTTAATTCCGTGTTTAGCGTCGACTAGCGTCGATTAGCGTCTGGAAGTGGATGAGATGCGCCGATGTGTGCGTCGATGAGCGTTGATTCAGCGTCGATTAGCGTCGAATATCGATTAGCGTCGATTTAGCGTCGATCAGCGTCGATTGGCAAGAGCCAACAAGATGTTATGGGAGGCTCCCATGGGTGGCCACCGAAGGGTCGGATGGGGCCAGAACGAGAATCAATCCGTTCCAGAGCGTCCAGGAACGCTCTCAGTGCGTTCTGGAACGCTCTGAGGAGTCCGCGGCGCCTGAGACGTCCTCCAGAGCCACGGGATCAGAGATTTTCGATGTATTCCCACCCGATGTTTTCCTCGTCCTGGTTTCGTCTTACTGGGCGGGGCTGGGAGCCCATCGGGCAAGGCTCGTTCCGATTCCTCGGGAGTGTTTTTGTACCTTCTGGGCCAAGACGCGCGTTATGCCCCACTCCTCCTCCTCCTCCTCTTCTTCCTCCTCTTCCTCCTCCTTTTTCTCCTACAGCTCCTCCTCCTCCTTTTCCTCCTCCTCCTCCTCCTCCTCCTCCTCCTCCTCCTCCCCCTCCCCCCTAATTAGCGTAATGCGCTCCACCCCCCAGTGCAGAGGAGCCTATCGGGCAGGGCTCATTTCTACTCCTCGAGAGTGTTTTATTACCATCTGGGCCAAACCGCGCGTTCTGCCCCTCATCATCATCATCATCCTCCTCATCCTCCTCTTCCTCCCCCTCCTACTCCTCCTCCTCCTCCTTATCCTCCTCCTCCTCTTCCTCCTCCTCCTCCACCTCCTCCTCCTCCTCACTCGGATAGAAGTACGGGCGCGCACCCGCCGCCATTCTGGCTCACAGCGCGCGCGCTAGTCTAGTGGTAAACAAAAGGGCCGCTACTCCACCCTTGTTATTGCCGCCTTGTTTTCTCTCTCTTCCACCACTGCCATCCGCAAGTCTAGTCGGTAGCGTAGCTGGGAGGAGTCCCAGCTCGCGATGCACGGAGCTGCGCACAATGCGATGTGGATGCACATTCGCATTTTCCCCAATCTCTTCATTGGATCCCCCCCCGTTCCCCAAACTGTTTGTGCTTATGGCTGCTCTGCAAGCCGAGTGGAAATTCGCCCGGGCCGCTCGCAGGCTACGATGAGGAAAATGCCGGACCGTGCGAAGCGTGCGATAGCCCAGTTGCGCAGGGCGTCATCAACTGCCCATGGGACCGCCACAACGTTTCCCGACCCATCGCACCCCACATTGGCCGCAGCGCCGCGTCGGGCATGACTGCGAGGCTCCTCCATGGGCCAGTGCCGCGCCCCGTGATGTCTGCGAGCGCGTCGCACCACTCGAATGGACCATTGAACGTTAGTGCACTTAAAGGGCAGCAGCGTTACCAACGCAGCCACCTGCTTCAACATGGTGTTCGTCCCTGCGCAGGCCCGAACCCCAAGACACTCTCGCGTCTCATGTCGTGGTGGAGTCTCACCGAGGAGGATATCCATCTTGGCGCTCGGGGGTAGCAGGTCACTCATCACTAACCTGATGTTGCCGATGCGCGTTGGCATTCGTAGGCGTCGTGCCACGTGCGCAGGGGCATGGTTCGTGCCCGGCCGGCGATGCCAGCGCACGCGCCGTGCTATGCCCCCGCGTTGCTTCGCGCCGCGCAGCGCACGCTTGGCATCGGCATGCTCGGCTGTGCGCTGGAGCGTGCGCAATGGCAGAGGCATGCCATGCTGGGGCCAAAAAGCGCGCCGAGCCACGCAAGCTGGGGCGCCGATGTGCCCAGCTTTGCGCCAGCGCACGCGCGGGAGTGCGCACCGAGCGCGTCTGCGCCTGACCGAGCTCGTCTCCAACCACCGTAGAGTGCCCGCCGGCACCGATGCAGGTTTCTCTCAGCCGCACTCAGGCTCCAATGGGCTATGTCACACGGGATGCAGCTCACAGGGACTTGCGGGCCGGGTCAGCCGGCATGCGACTTCAGCCCGTGCGTTCGCTTACCAGATTGGTAGGCATTTCTCCGGATCTCCACCTCAATCCTTTTATTCAGCCACATCGCCACCTCAGTGACTACCCGCCACCCGGAGCGATCTATCTCGAGCGTGCAACCTGCTGCGCATCTGGCACTTGACTCGCTCAGCACGTCGTCGGCTGCTGGGCTGTTGTCTGGCGGATGAGTTCTTCCCATGAGCTCTCGCCGGCTGGTTTAACGGCTTGGCACCCGCTCGCCCTGGGCGCGCCCTGTCGGCCCGCACCGCGGGCGGTGTGCGCGCGTTGCAAAGTCGGCGCCTGACGATCCAGTGGATCGAGCACCACAGAGCCTTCCGCCTCCGTTCCGACGGGCCGCGCCGTCAATTGCTGGACTTCCGAGTCCACGCAGAGCCGAGCATAACGCGCTCGCCCTCGGATAGCACGCGCCGGTCTGCAACCGAAGGATAGGGCGATGTTCTTCGCCGAGAATTCACTGCGCGTGCATTCAGTTTCATTGAGTACCGCATGGAGTTATTCGCCGCCCGCGTCCTCGGCCTGGGCCTACACGCGGAGCGTTTGCTGACGATCCCGACATCTTCGTCTTCAAATCCGCGTCTATCTCCATATTGACCGACGTGTTATTATCCGTTTCTTGCTTTTCTTCGCCGGCATGCAGGGCGCCGCGTTCTGCTCCGCCTCCCTCCTTTTCCGCCCTCGCTGCCCGCGGCTCAGAGCGCGCGGCCTCTCCGCTTCGTCCCGGGCCAGCGGGCAGGTCCGCAGCGGTGGGGCGGCGCGCCGAGCCGCGGCGCCCCGCGACTGGGCTGGCGCGCACGCTTGCGCGCTGCTCTGCCTGGCTACGACGGGGGCGCGCACGCCGGCGCTTCCGCCTCCGCTGTTGCGCGTCGCGCGACGCGCGCGTGCCTGTCCACGGGCTCCCTGATCACCCTGGCCCCGCTGCCGCCGCGCCGCGCGCCGCGGAGCACCGCCCGCCGCTGCTGGGCGCTGGGGGGCCGCAGGGGGCGCGACGCGCCAGCGGCCGCAATTTCTATTTGTAGATGCCAAATCACAGGGGCGCTGCGACTTGCCGCTGCCTTTGCCTCCAGTCAGACGCAGCGCGCCTTTTGTTGGACAACGCATACTATCCGCAGTTGTCAGCGCGACCCCCGCGAGGCTCGCGGCCCCCGCTGGCGGGCGCGGCGGCTGAGGGCGCTCCCTGGCCAATGGCCACAAGAACGCGCACCTGCGGCCCGCGCGCCCAGATGCTAGCCGGGCCACGCGCGCGGTGAGATCCGCGCCGCCACCGCGTTGGCATGCTCGCGCCCACTGCGACGGCATCCTCGGGATCGCCTGCCGGCGGAACAGCGTTGCCGCGCGCTGCGCCCGCTACCACATCATTCACTAAACTGCGACCACATTTCGAGCAGGAATGCGTCAGCGTCACCGACGCGCCTCCCGCGTCCGCGCGCAATGGCGAGGAGGACGTCGAAGTGTTCGTCATCGTCGGCACCGTCGGGGCGCCGCAGCCAGCGGGGCCACCTTGGCGCGCGCGCCCAGCATGCCGCGCTGGCGCGCAGCAGCCGCGATTCGCTGCGAAAATGCTCGCGCGTGCAGCGGCGAAGTCAATGGCATTCTGCACCGCGCGTCGCGCGGCCCACGACGGTTGACATCCTCAAAGGTGCCGCAGCTGGCGCGCCGCCGCCTTGTGACCCGCCCAACCTTGCAGTTCCAGAAGGGTCGGGGCGCGTCTGCTATGCGCGCGCAGACGCAGCGGCCTGCTCCCGCTGGGACTCCCGCAACAAATCCCCCCCCTCCCCGTCGGGCAGGAGGCAAGAGGGCGGCGTCCCCGCGTGTTCAGCGCTCAGATTACCGCGCACATCGACAGTTCGAAGATGAACGCGCTCCCACTTCGGCTCCTGGAAACAAGGGGCGCGCGCCAGACCGCTGCCCATGTCTGATCAGAGGCGCGGCTCGTTCGCCCGCGCCAGCCACTGGACCCGGCGCCGACCGCTGGGCGAACGAAGCAAGGGACCGCCAGGATGATCGCGCTTCGATCTTCCACGCGGATCAAATACTGGCCGTTGAGCGCGGATCGCCAAGCAAAGCGCCGCCGCAAGTAAGTGAGCAGCTCGCGCAGCCGCGCGCGATGCTGCGACGACGGGGCACGCGCGCGCCAGCGCCAGGCGCCTGGCCGTCGAAAGCGCGCCGGCGCCCAGGCCAGGCTGGCAACGTGGGCTACCGCGACGGCTTGCCAGGTCTTGCCACTCCAGCGCGCTCGCCGGGATAGTCGCACAATGAATGGAAGCTCATCGCAAGAGTACGTACGCATGGGAGGACAGACGAAGGCAAGGAAGGGAAGCAAACAGAGAGCAAGAGGACGACTGCTCAGGAAGACTTTTTCCGTCCCCCTTCGAATCCCAGCCTTTGGGTGTCATTGGTTAAATGGGGATTGATCTTTCAAACGTCGTCCTTTGGGGGGGGTCCCTCCTCTTCCCCCTGCGCCATCCCTGGGCTCTTCTCTGGGTTTGGAAGGGGCCCTGGTGAGCGGTTCAGGGGCCGAATAGAGCCTAAGATAGTTCGAAGAAGACTCAATCTTGCTCTGGATGGCCTACAAGTTAAGATGGCGCAAGATAGCCCGCCTTGCTTCAAGATAGCCTCCACGTCTCCCCCCTAGATTGCAACATTCAACGCGGTGCCGATTCTATGTTCCAGCCTTCGCCAATCGCGCGATCAACATTGCGATGGGGTGGGGTCGGGGGTCGAACGAAGCTGGGACGAGGATGAATCCGTTCCAGAACGTTCAGGAATGCTCTCAGAGCGTTCCGGAACGCTCTGAGAAGGCCGCGGCGCCCGAGACAGCCTCCTGAGCTGCGGGACCTCAGAGATTCTCGACTCCTCCTCGCCTGAGCTTATGTCTCCTCGTCCTGGCTTCGTCTTAGGGGGGCCGGTGGGCTGCCCAAACTAACGG